TATTTAAGTTTGATTTCTATTTTTTTATATTAAAAAAGATTTAAAATTTTTTAGGTGAAATGGTATGTTAAGCAATTTAATTTAGGCTGATAACAAAGTATAACCTGCTGCATAATAAGCTAAAGGAAAGAAAGGAAAGAAGAATTAAGGAGAAGATCAACCTTAATAAGCAGTAGCCACATTGGGACCAAATGTAGCTGGAAATGAATTAGTTTTCGGAGTTGCTCATATTCTCTCAACTTGGAATGATACCTTCATTCACATTACAGATTTGACAGGCAGAGAAACACTTGCAAGAGTCACAGGAGGAATGAAAGTCAAATCAGACAGAGAGGAATCATCACCATATGCAGCAATGCAAGCAGCTAAGGATGTTTATGAGAAGTTGAAGACACTCAAAATTAATGCTTTACATATTAAACTGAGAGCTAGAGGAGGTATATCTATATAAATATCAATAACCCTCAGGTGTTGATACCAGATAACCAGGACCAGGAGCTTAGGCTGCTCTCAGAGCTCTTGCTCGTTTGGGATTGAAGATTGGAAGAATTGAAGATGTCACTCCAATTCCAACAGATTCAACTAGAAGACCAGGAGGTAGAAGAGGAAGAAGATTATGAAAAGTAAAATTACATTACATTATTCAAATACAATAACAATCACTTTTTTAAAGCATGTATGTTTTCAGGGAATTGGCAATGTCTCAATAGATTTTAATATCTAATTGGGTCAGTCAAGTCTTATGCTTGATGTTCTAATATGAAGATTTTCACCTCTTAGAAGTACGTTTCCATCGATCCATCTTACTTTATTATTAATTCATGCAACAATTTCTAAAATAGAAATAAACTTCAATACGCTAAATAAATAATTGTCCACTATTAATTTGTTTTTTTGCATCTAATCATTGATTTCCTCTCTATAAGCTGTTCCTTCTTAGATATAATTGAATTCCAAGCTGAATTGTAATATTTCCTTTTGCAAATAGTCGTTCCTTTTCAAGTAATCGTAAATGTATTTTTCATAAATGCTATTTGTGTTATAAGACAACGAAATCCATCTTTGATGAGGTCCCTTTAAATCTATGATTAATTATTGATTCTTAATATCCAATTGGTCGTGTAATATTTCCATTTGAGAATCCTTTTTGGATAATAATAAATAAGGCGCATCATCGCTTAGTCTATCGTGATATAGATTTGCATAGATAAAATTGTCTTTGGAAGATAATTTGAAGGCTCTTGCATACATTCTTAATTAAAGTGAAGAGGAAAATGAGAATTAGTTAGAAATTTTTTGAAGTGATTCTTCAATTATTTTTTCTTCCTCTCTCTTCTTATTCAGATATTCCGATAGTCCGTACGACTTTTTAATTTTACTTAAGGTCCTTAGTTTACATAAATAGGATTTGGCCTAATCATCATTTGCCCTTTCTTTAATCTAAACTTTATTTCGATCTTAATACATTAGAAATCATTGGCTTGCAAACTATTTATGTCTTTTTATTCATAGTATCCACCAATTCCTTAAAATCTAATAGATTTCTCCTGATTGCATAGAAATAATTTTTCCTGATGATGAAGTATATAATACATTTATTCAGCTTTCGGATTATGCACCACAACTGGCTTTTCAGTTGTCTCTATTATATATGCATGTTAATCATCTAATTCATCGTATTCTTCGATTTATTATGGTGTTTGAATGTCCTGCAGGGGGAATTGTTAATATTTTGGTTATTACATTATAAGATGTTATTTTAATTAATGTCAAATTAGAATACGTAATAGTAGAGCTAAACTAATATGAAATAGAAGCTATTAAAAATTTTACAGGAAAAGAACAATACACCAAATGCTGAGTAGAAGCAAAGTTCAAATTTAGATTACACATCATTGTAAAGGAAATTGTCTTAGCCATCTCATAAATTGCCTATTGAAATGAACAAATCTGCAAGAGAGATTTGGTTATTTGAAATGCTCAATAATTAGAATCTCACATAAAAAGTATCAGTAGATTGATGAAAGTTAAGGTCTAGTAATTGAAGTAAATTTAAGTAAGAACAGCCAAATTAATTAAAAGCTATCAAACTAAAGAGATAAAATGGAATAAAAAAAGAGTAGCCTTATAATAAGAGGTTGATTTACTTCGACAATTATTATATCAATATTGATTACAGTTGACTATGTTAAATTGTTATTAATAAAATAAATCCTAATTATGAATGAATATCTGACATATACAGATTGGAAAGTATTTAATAATACAAAAATTAAGATAACTCAAATACTTTTCAAAAATATAGTTTCTTATAGATCATATTATTCTAGTACTGTTACATCATCATCTAAAATTGCACATCAAATTGTATTGGTTGTATGTATCCTTTTTTTGAGTAGATACTATATCCTTTCAAAGCTCCAGCCTATTACTGCTGTATAAAAACTGGTTATTAGAAATATTAATTCTTTGGTCTTTAGACCAGTAAAAGTGGAGATTCTGAACGATCCTTTTTTGGACTTTGTGGGGTTGTTACTTCGCAGCTCCTTTCATGAACAGTTTTCAAAGTGAAGTTATCTTTTCTGAATTGGCTAATAGCTTCTGACAATTTCAATCCGAGATTGCATCTAATAGTAACACTAATCTTCTTTTCGGGAGTGACTACCCTCAATTGATTTAAGACTAATTATATAAATAGGAAAATTATACATTTAATGTCATCTCTCAATATTTTGGCTTTAATGTCCTCCTCATACAATTTTTCTCCATTACTCCCTATATCCTATTATGAAGTAGGTCTTGATCTCGGCGTGTTGAGAAAAAAGTTCTTATTTATTTCTATTTTACGTTTTGAAATAAAAATTACCTATTTTGAGTTCTTTATACAACAAAGGATTGGCTTACTCTTTCACTTTTGTTATCTCCTTCTACTCTGGAAGTTCATTGCTTTTCTTTACTGAATTGTCGGTTGTTTGTGTTTTCTAAATACTGCAATCAGAATTTGGTGAAGTAGCAGAGGTAGAAGAAGTGTTGCTTCTTTTTAATGAAGACATCGAGGAAACCAAAATGAAAACATCACTTGCACTTTTAGAAGGATCACTTAATAGCTTTTTCAAAGGATTCCATTTAGAGTTGAATTATTCCAATATGGGTTCTGTAAACACAGGAGTTACTTTGGTAATAAATTCCAAGAAGGATTCTTTTAGTAATGTAATTTCTTAAATCAATTCCATCAATTTAAAATAATTAATGAATTAAAGCAATTGTTTCACTCTCCTAATTATATATAAAATTGTTTCAAAACGAACATAAACTACTAATAAATCCGATCACGAAAGGAATCAAATAGCATAAAAAGACATGATGAAATCAGACCTTAAAGTTGTAATGTCATGATGATGTTAGGAACTCTAATAAAATGCTCGTAAAATATATCTATACATACGAGAAGACTATAATAGGTAAATTAACAACAAATAATAATAGTTATTACTAAAAATAATAACTCCATCAAACAAATTCATTAAAATCTGTCATAGCAATAAGGGCGACTTCCCTTTCTACGTTTTTCTTATTTTTTTTGTGTGCCTTTTGTTTCTTCTATTTCTTTTATTTCTTATTCTTGATATGTGATGATTAATGGATCAAAGTCTATGAAGAGGCTGTTGCACAAAGACCACTGTACATTTTAGAGCGACCCAATTTACAACTTGCTCCAACTGGTCCTGCCAAAAAGGCCTACTTAGCTCCAGTGTATTTCTAGAATGAGTCAAGAGGATGTTTACTTCATCGAAATAACAAACTATGTATTCTGAGTCTTTATCTTCAGCCTTTCCACATCCAAAAGCACTAGACCTGGCTGTGAGTAATTATTTGGCATTTTCAGATTCTTTGAACCACTTTTCCATAACTTAGTTGGTTCTCAATTGTTGATTGAGGTGTCTTTTAAAAAAGAGCACTCCATAATTTTAAAACTATAAATGAAATGCAACGATACTTAGCCACAAGTGGAAGCCTTGAGAGGACATTTCTCAACACATGTTTAGGCCATTTTTGCATAGCCATTGCTCCAGTGCATAACATTCATATTAGATGCTGATGAAGATCCTTCAAAGCTAATTTAGCCAGTTGCAACCTGATTTCTAATTTGATTCAGGGAGTGAGCAAGTTAATTGGCCAATCCTGAATTGACTCCTTTATTATGCACATTGCAATATTGATTCTATGCATAAACAAAGAAAAGTGTCAGAAACGATAAAATTATTCTCATATATTTTAATTTATGAAAATAGCTAATTTCATATCGAAGACTCAAAAATCCGTCTATTAATTCTGCGATATCAAGAAGAAATTCGCAAGCATAATATTCACGAATGTTGCAATCGATAACTTCGATACTAAATTCCCTGGAGCCTCGTAGATCTTTTATTTTAATGAGTAATAGAAGGAAGCATTGGTGAAGACTACAGAAAATAAAAAGGAAATCATCTGTATGTATTTTAGTGATGACAAGAGTTCAATGATTCGAATTACTTGGGGTAGTATGTGAACAAGGTGTTTAATAATTTGAAGAGTAAGGCAACAAGGTTTGATTATGCACATGTCGAGTTTTCGAATAAGGATTATTGGCAACATATGTATGAGATTGTCGGCACAATGGATGGGGAATGTATATTTTATTGAGTAATTGACTAAGCTTCAACTCTTGTGATTAGAATAAAGGAGAATGTTTTGAAGGAATGTTTGGAATGTAAATTGGACAATTTGGAATAGTACAAGAGTTTATTCATCCAAAGAATTTTGAATATTGGGATGATTAGTGTATATCAGCTAAGTCTGATATCTCAAAAAACCCTTAAGGGAGGAATTTCAGAATTTGAGATCCGTTGCCTGAATACAAAGGAGGACTTTTTCGCTTCACATCAGAGAAAGTTGGTATGAAGTTATCCTTAGCTTAGTTGTATAAATCTGGAGGGAGAATTTATTACCAGATGGGTTTGCGATCTATGGGACATAAACCTGATGCAGTAGTAGGGGAGGTATACCCTTAACTGGAATGATAAAAATAATATAAATTATTTTAATGGGATCGATCCTCAATAAGTAAGAGGTTTCATCAAGAAAGCTATCTGAAATGCCGCTAGAACAAAAGTCTTAACACTACACTTAGGAAGCTCAGGAGAACGAATAAGCTAGAGTGGTGATTCAGACTTATCGTGACACAAAAATAAGTCGGAAAGTACATAACTTAGATCCCGAAGTTAAATAAACATTTAGCAAGTAATTCCCTAAGAAACAAGATCTCTCGAATGCACAAGGATAAACTAGTTCAATTTAATAAAAGGAGACATTTCAATTGTCTCCACGATCACCTGATAAGGAAAGTGATTGTGATTGGCAAGACATATATGGAGATCAATGCTTTACATTAAGTGATGGTCATGCAGCTTAACATTGATTATTTTAATTTTTGTTTTTTTTTTCTTTATTTCTGAAATGTCAATAATTAGAAAATTGTTACAATCATTGTATATACAAAAGATGTGTAAAACCTATTACTGTAGGTAGCAGATAATAATTATTTTATAGAATAAGTAGATAATCAGAATTGATAGACATAAAATTTTATATATTAACTAAATTTAAGGAAGAGAGATTGATTAATTTAAATTTCAAAATCTTTATAAGATTCTCCATAGTTACTTGGTTTTAATATTATAAACAATAATATTAGAAAGGATAATTATGATATGATATGACTTGATTGATCAAAATTAAAATTCAAATACAGTAATAACCAAACTATGAGAATCATGATAGAAAATCTTAAATTTTATCTTTAATGATTCTAATTCGATTGATTTGAATAATAGCAAATAGGTTGCGATTCCAAAACCTAAAGTGATTTAAGAGAAGACAAAAAGTACAGGATATGTCAAGTAAATGAAAATTGTCATAATAAAAAGTTCCTTGTTTATTTCTACTAAATTATAATGATGGGGAATGGATATTAGAAGAGAAACAGAGATATAAAGATTCAAATAATAATTGGAATATCATCTATTATAATTTATTAAGATAAAACTATTTAATTAAATATATTCATGCTTAACCAATTAAAATAGTGTCTTCAGAGTATTCTTAATCCTCGTCGGTTTGTTCATCGTAAAGCATTCCCATCATCTTCCTCTTTCGAATAATTTGTCTCTCTATCGGTTAGTTCTTTATTTTGAATTCCATCAATTAATCATACATGTCATAACTACAATCAATATCTTCTGAAAGCCACTAGATAATGTAATATAAATAAGCATTACCAAGATGTTATCATTGCTAACTATGTTCAATTTGAATTTCATTTTCTGATCATACACTCTTAAACTTTTGAACTCCTTCCAAATATTAGTCAATTTCACAGTTTCATCACAAACATAGATGGGATCTCCTTGGAACATACATTCAGTATACACCTTTGGACAACTCCTGTAAGTTGGATCATAGAGTTTTGCAACCTTGACAGTTAATTCAATTTATTTCGGAAAGAAGGATTTGTCATTCAACATCTGTATTTAAAGATTGTTGCCAAACAACTAGAAAGATTCCATTCCCATTATCAATGTGTCATCTAAATATGTCCCCTTTTAAACCAGAGCTTTGAATATGGTAATTAAGAGTACTTGCTATTTCAGTATCATTGAGTGTGGTCGAACTCATATCTTAGGCCAGAATATAGCAGATGTACACATATTAAAAGGTAGATTCGACTTGTATGGTCAGATTTTGATTATCAAAAGAGGAGTATAATTTCAGCATTGGCTTCTTGCCACCGTATTTGAAGAAACCAGCAAATCCAGAGATGAACACTGAATGCTGCATCGGAGACGTGTAAATTTGCTCTAATGTCACTTGAGCCTTCTCTTACAATGGAAAACATCCTGAATCATAGGTGTCTCCTCCAAAAGCATACCAAGTGTATAGTACTGATTTAATGCAGCTTTTCGAGCAGACTACTTGGATTGTGAATCCTAATTAAATCTAGATTCCCCATTACCTGTTGTGTTAACTTTCATCAATTCAACATGGATGTCCAAAGCGAAATCAGAAAACTGCATTTCATTGGTGTGATTACTCAAAACGAAGATCACTTAGGGAACATATGCTTTGTAAACATTCAAGAATTTGATGTGTGTTATGGTGTCTTTTTCACAAGCCAAACCTCCGGCTCCAATTAGCAACTATCCATTTTCCAAGATTGGATATCCATATACGAGAATCACTAGTTGAAATAGCAAAACGTACATTTATAAATTAATAAACATTACAATATTAGAGTATAAATTTTAATATTGCCTTGTGCTTTTTATAAATATATCATACAATATATTAATTGCCATATTCTCGGATGCTTGCAGGAAAAGAAGAAAAGCCACCTCGACTAACAAGAGTAATCTCACTTTCAAGCTTAGTCTAATCGCGGTAATCTCGAGAGCGAACAACTGCCCGATTACTTAAGGAGCTCCTTCTCCGACACCTTCAAAATGAAAGAGCCCCCCAAAGTCTAAAAAGGAAAGAAGATCTTACCTCAATATGCATTTGGCAATTCTCTCGAATCACCTTCCTTCTTCCGTAATCCCAACACTTTGATTTGCAGAGAAAGCTATGACAATCCATTCCTCAAAGTCAGAGCTAAACCTCACAGTAAATGGCAAACCCTCAGAAGTAGCACTCTCAACAATTTTGAATTTTATAATGTCTCTGAACAGAAATTCGCAAATCTCCCCAATAAAGGATACAAAAATGTCAAAATAGTAAAGTAGTATCTTCATCCAACATTTCTAGCACTGTAACCAATCAAGTGCATTATGTCCAAACTCCTCAAATCCGAGGGGATGAACAAACTTTTCAACTTGCCTACAAAACTTTGCAATAGAAATCAGGTCTTTTTGGCAGAAAGAACGGTATCCCTCATATCTGAATTGTGATAGAATTGTTCACCGATTTCATTGAGAAGAATGATAATCAGAATGTTTATGGCCATTTGAATGATAGACAAAGACCAAAAGGACGTTTGAGAGATGTCAAGAATTACAGCCTCACTCCTTAGGAATTCCAAATTTATAAAAAAAGGTCCAGCCATTATCTCAATTCCAGTCCTAGTAAAGGCTTATAAAAAACAGAAGTGCCAATATTCAATTAAAACCAATAATAAAAAGATTAATAAGTTGAAAAGTAC